ATCTATAGTATCTTAAGGAGTGATAATGCCAAGGAATATTTCTCATCGACATTCACGTCCTTTCTTTCACAAAATGGCATTATTCATCAATCTTCGTGTATTGTTACTCCACAACAAAATGGAGTGGCCAAAAGAAAGAATCGACACTTATTGGAAGTCGCACGAGCTCTTCTTTTTCATATAAAAGTTTCAAAAGAATTTTGGGCAGATGCAGTCTCTATTGCGTGTTACTTAATCAACCGTATGCCTTCATCTATCTTAGATGGTAAAATTCCTTTCTCCATTCTATTTCTCTCTTAGACTCTCTTTTCTCTTCCTCCTAGAATATTTGGGTGCACTTGCTTTGTTCAAAATATGAGACCTCAAGTTACCAAACTTGATCCTAGATCCCTTAAGTGTATATTTTTGGGTTATTCTCGACTTCAAAAAGGTTATCGTTACTTTTCTCCCTCCTTAGTACGGTACTTAGTGTCTGCCAATGTCACTTTTTTCGAGTCCACTCCTTTTTCTAATGATGCTGTGTCATCTAATCCATCGTCTATTGAGTCTGGGGATGATTTCCTTATTCACACTATGACTACACCTGTGTTAATAGTATCTTCTCGTCCTCCTACTCGAAGTGCTTACACTCGTCGTGTGCAGTAGTCTTCGGTGGCACTTGATACTAGCCTTGACTTGCCTCCTCTACCTGCTACTTCGCCTCGAGATTCGTCACCCCCTCCTGATTCTACTCTTGATCTTCCCATTGCTCTCTGAAAAGGTGAATGATCTTGTTCTTATCCTCTCTCTTCTTTTGTTTCTTACCATGCTTTGTCACCATCCTCCAAGTCTTTCATTGCCTCCTTAGATCATGTGTCCGTACCAAAATCTATCTCTGAGGCTTTATCCCATAGTAGATGGCGAGCAGCTATGCAAGACGAAATGTTGGCACTGGAACATATGTTGGCACTGGAACATAATCACACATGGGAATTGGTTCCTTTACCCCTCAATAAAAAGGCAATTGGGTGCAAATGAGTGTTTACAGTCAAGATGAATCCTGATGGGTCTGTTGCTCGATTGAAGGCTCGTTTGGTTGCTAAGGGGTATGCTCAAACTTATGGTATGGATTATTCTGAGACTCTAAGCTAGCTTCTGTTCGATTGTTCATTTCTCTTGCTGCTGCCTATCATTGGCCACTTCACCAACTGGATGTTAAGAATGTATTTCTCTATGGAGATTTGTATGAAGAAATTTATATGGAGCAACCACCAGGGTTTGTTGCTCAGGGGGAGTCATAGAAGGTATGCAAATTACAAAAGTCATTATATGGTCTGAAACAATCACCCTGTGCCTGGTTTGGGAAATTTAGTGAGGTTGTGATTGAATATGGCTTGAAAAGAAGTGCATATGATTACTCAGTATTCTTTAAACGATTTACAGCTCGGTGTATTTTGTTAGTTGTATATGTTGATGATATTGTGATTACTGGTAGTGATATCAGCGGCATAAGTATGCTGAAGGCTTTCCTAGGCACAAGATTTCAAATAAAGGAGCTAGGTCCTTTGAAATATTTCTTAGGGATAGAAATATCTCGAAGTCGTAAAGGAATTTTTCTATCTCAAAGGAAATATGCTCTGGACCTACTGGATGAGACAGGTTTAGAACAAAACTTGGTGACGCCCCTATGATAACAAATGTGAAACTCGAAGCAGAAGATGGAAATGTATTTGTTGATGCAGACAAGTACAGGAGGGTAGTGGGAAAGCTTAACTATCTTACAATTACTCGGCCAGACAATGCATTTCCCGTAAGTATTGTTAGTCAGTTTATGTCATCTCCTAAAACTTCACATTGGGATGTCGTAACTCATATATTAAGGTATCTTAAAGGAAGTCCAGGGCGTGGAATTCTTTATAGAGACCGTGGTCATTGTAGGGTTGAAGGTTTCTCGGATGCTGACTGGGCCGGTTCTCCCGTGGCTCTACTACAGGGTATTGTGTTTTCGTTGGAGGTAATCTAGTCTCTTGGAAAAGTAAGAAACAGACTGTTATAGCTCGATCAAGTGCAGAATCTGAATATCGGGCTATGACACATGTGACTTGTGAACTTATGTGGCTACGCCACATACTTGGAGAAATTGGCATTGATACGTCTCACTCTATGAACTTGTGGTGTGATAATCAAGCAGCTATTCACATTACCACTAATCCAGTATTTCATGAGAGAACAAAGCATATAGAGGCAGACTGTCATTTTATTCGTGAAAAGCTACAACAAGGATTAATTTCGACTAAGCATGTCAAGACAGGAGATCAATTAGCTGATGTATTCACTAAGGCTTTAGTCAGAACTCGAGTAAAATATATTTGTAACAAGTTGGGCATGATTGATATCTATGTTCCAGCTTGAGAGGGAGTGTTATGGAATTATGCATCAAATTAGGCTTATGATTATTCATTACATATACGACAGATATATATGGTAGGTGCATATTTTGATAGGGTAGTTTCCTTATGAGAAACATTCCCTCTGTGTAATATATATATATATCTATATATATAAGAAATCAAATTATACTTTTATTATATGCATAGGATCAAGGGGGGGGTTTGTTGGTTTTGTTGTTGAGTGTGTATTTTTTGTTGGTTTTATTGTTGTGTGTGTGTTTGTTTTGCTGTTTTATAACTTTAATCCTACTCAGTACTCTCCTTAGTTTTCTATAAATCTTTTATTAGAATCATGTAAGAATCACTTCTTTTTTTTTTTTTTAATTTAAATCTTCACCACCTATGATATATAAACTTGAACTTGATTTCTTTTTATAAGGTTACTCGTGACACTCACTTATAAAATTCTTAGATTAATTTATTCCTTTTCCCCAGCATCTTTAGAAAACATCAAAAGGCTCACTCCGACCAACAGTTTTCTCTTATTTGGGTCACTCAGGATTAACCTAAAAACAGTATGACTTCTAAAAATCAAGTTATGCTTTTATTATATGCATAGGATGAAATGATTTATCAAATATTTACATAACTATAGATGCATAAAACATTATAAATACATAAAACATTAAACGGAGATTTATAAATTTATCTTAAAAGATTTACAACTAAGAATTTTCCTTTCAGGAAGTCCCTAAAGTTCTTAAAATAAAAGTTTAAGAAAACAAGAGTACTTTAAAATATTCACAAGAATTTCAGCTATACAATGATTTTGGATTGAGAATTTTTCTATAAAGAGGTTTCAACCCTGTAAAAAAGAAAAAGAATGTCAGTTAATAGAAAATAATATAGAAGAAGAATATGAAATAGATCTAGAGACAATAGAAATAATAGACTATGAATTCTTAGACAATGAAAAAATATATCATAAATTAGTTACAGAACAAGAAATAGATAGTTTAATATCAAAATTAGAAAAAATGGAAATAATATGAGAAAATGTATTAAAATATTGGGAAAAAGATAGAATAATGTGTGAACTAAAAATAAAAAATCCAGAATATATAATAAAGACAAAAAATATAGAAGCTACAAATAATGATTTTGAAGATTTAAAATGCATATAGAAGAACTTATAAAATTAGGAGTAATAAGAAAATCAGATAATCCTCATAGATCAGCAGCTTTTATAGTAAGAAAACATTCAGAAATTATTAGAGGAAATAGTAGAATGGTAATAAATTATAAAAGATTAAATGACAATACAATAGAAGATACATATAATATACCAGATAAAATAGTTTTAATAAATAAAATTCAAGATTGTAAGATTTTTAGTAAGTTTGATTTAAAGTCAGGATTTTGACAAATCAAGATGCATTCGGATAGCATAAAATGAATAGCATTTACATGTCCAGAAGGCCATTTTGAATGATTAATTATATCATTTGGAATTAAGAATGCACCAAGTATTTTCCAAAAAAAAAATGAAAAATATTTTTAATAAGCATAATAAATTTATAGTAGTATACATAAATGATATTCTTGTATTTAGTAAAAATAAAAGAGAACATAGAGGTCATTTACTGATAGTTTTTTCAGAATTTATTAGACATGGACTAATTATTAGTAAAAAGAAAATAGTTTTATTTAAAGAATATATAGATTTCTTGGGAGTAAATATAGGAGAAGGAAAAATTAAACTTCAACCACATATAGCTCAAAAAGCTTTAGAATTTTCAGATAAATTAGAAGACTTAAAACAAATTCAGAAGTTTAGGAAATGAGAAAAATATTCTTCCAAAATCAACAATTTGAAATAGGGGTTTTGCTCTCGAGTAGGGTGAAAATTTGCAGAGTTTGAGGGCAGAAGAGAGGATAAAATGGAGAGTGGATGAAATTTACTGACTGATTTTTTCTTCTTCTTTCGACTTTAATTATATTTACATATCTAAATCCTTATCAGCTGGTGCCAATGCACATCTCAGGGAATTGGTTCCATTTTCAGTTCTGCATTCAACACCGGACCATCCGGTTCTCAGTTTACATGTCCAGAACCGTCTTTTTCCTTTACAGTGCCAAACCATTCAGTTCCATTTGCCCACCCTTATCTTTTAGTTCTAGTCTCTGTCTGTAAGGAGATAGTATGAGGAATTCCATGAAGGGTGAGTGAAAGAACGAGTTGAAAAAGAAACACATTTTAGTTCTAGTCTCTGTTTGTGAATTTGCACGGCGACATATTTTGTTGGTTAATCTGTATTAAATTCGTCCCTTCTAGTTTCTTTTTGTGGTAACTGGTAAGGACCAAACTGGATAAGGTCAAAACTCGTTTTCTTTTGTGATGTGTTGTTACGTACATGCCAGTGCCGTACCTTGTTTCTCTCTTTTATATTTAAGGTGCTAGAAAAGTTTCCTTGATTCCATATTTTGAATCATGATTGCTCGGTTTTGTTTTTGTTTTTATTTTCTTTTTTTGCAGTTTCTGGATGGTTGGGTTATTTTTTCTGAGAATGCTAGACCAAGACCGCCTCCTCCATCTTTGAATAATGCACAAACATATAATCAGCCCTGATTGGGAAAAAGGTCCACTGGTGATATATGCCATTCTTTGATCAAATAGAGCATTTGAATATCAAGTGATGTGTGCTTGGGTCGTGTTGCTTTCTCTATTTAGTAATTCTGAAGCTAGATTAAGGTGCACATCTCAACTGTTTGCACCAGTTGAGGTACACATTAAGTGGAACATTTTTGTATCAATGGACAATGATATATTTAGTACATTAAATTAAACAAGTGTGTGAATGATACGTATCAACAGCCAAATACTTGGCAAGAAAATCCTGAGGCAAGAGGCCTCTGATCAAATGCACGTGGATGACACGTGTCCACGCGGTTTCTTTGTCGAGAAGGTAAGTTGAAGCAATTTTAACAAAGAGTTAATTTGATATGAACATTTTCGTCTATTAGCATTATACATTAATTTGAATATGACTCTAATCGTATTTCTCCAATCGCACTCCAACACAATGAGAACATTGATTCAACAATTCTTATATAATTATGTGCACCACACATATCATAATTGTCTTGATTCGAAATATCCATTTATTGTATTGTGATGCGACTCTTATATTTGTAATGTAATGACTAATTTTCCATATGCAATTGAGTGCACCCATCAATTTTGGCAAACAGGTGGCTTCAAGGGGACCAGTTTGTATTCAATTCGACCAATGGCCGAGGAGCATTTGCCTTGTAATGGAAACATCTCGACAACTTGATACTAATAACTTCGAAAGCTACTACACTCTTGATATTTCAAGCTAATTTTTGTCGTTTCATTTTATGTATGGTAGAGACTTTTTTTTAGTATTTAGATTATATGAGTTGGAAGTTAAGATGAAAACAATTTAAATCCTGCTTCATCTCTAGGCACCATTTGGCATTTTCAATGGGACTTCAAACAATTTTTGTGTATTTATGAGATATTGAGTAGTTGTTTTCTTGAATGAGACAGAGGGTTTTCCAGAAGATGGCATAATCGATATGAATATAAAAAGTTTTTTGTATAGAACATTTTGATGTTAGTTATTAGTTATTACCTTTTGTTTAGAGCATTGTTAAGAGACTCCTTTTTTAAAGAGCATATTCTACAATTTAGAGAACATTTATAAATTTAGAGAATAAAAACCTTTAAGCATTCCAACAGCCTCTTTATATCTAAAACATAATTTTCTACTTCTTTTTTCATATTTTTTATTTCCACTAACTTGCCTCTAAATTATTATATTGTTTTTCTACATTATAAATTGAAATACTTTAAATACATTGAACTATAAAAAGTGGATTTGGCTCTCCAAATTTGATGAGACGAACTTACTTTCTAAATTAAAATGTCAATTTAAAAAGCCTCTTGGAGCATATTTTGAAGGAATGAGTCTTTAAAAATAGAGAGGTGTTTTATATTTGAAGGGGTTTTTCGAAAATGCTCTAAGGTGACTAAATTGTGCTAACTTTTGAATAAGAATGTGAAAGGGATAAGAGGTTAAACTTATTGCCACCATGTTTTAGGGTTGTTTGACAAAGTTCTTGATAAATAGTTTTAGTATATTATAATAAAATGTATAATTGAAAATGTGATAAAAGTTGTAGCTCTCGAAATTAATTGTTGATTTTGATTTCAATTTTTTAAACTTTTCCATATAAGCACTAAATCACACTAAAGGTACCTTATCTTTATATGTTACCATTTAATATTCTCAAGTTTCATGTCAATGCGAGATTTGGCAGATAAAAAACAATGAGTTATCACATTTTAATTCGTCAATTTTCAATTTTAACTACAAATTTTATGGATCAACAACTTTCTTCAACTTTATAATTATATATTTTATTAAAATTTACTAATTTTTTTATTTATTTATTTTATTATTATTATTATTTTTTTTTTTTTTATCAAAAGTGTTGTCACACGTCCCTTAATTCAATAACATTTTATTTTATTATCAAGGTAATGTTGAACACCAATAAATTGGAGGGTAAGCCCGTAATAAAACTACAATTGAGTGGCAACTTCGACCCATATCCGCTTCAATACAAAACCTTCACCCCCATTATTCTATATAAACACTGCCTTGCAACCGTAACTAACACTCTCCTCACCGCTGTGCGTGTAAAGTAACATGAAGTTTCTATTAGAATTAGTCACATGTTATGGTTCTTCGTCTACTGACTCGGAAGTTCGGCAGCCAGCGGAGGAATCCAGATCACTGGTGGCATCAGGAGCTCGGCGCCGCGTCGGAGGGAAGCGGGGGAAGGTGGTTGGTGTGAAGTCCGCTGGTGAGTGGAGTCCAACTTTGTCGTCAATCTCGGAAAACAATTTCTTAAGTGAGAGGAATAATCAACCGCGGCCACATGTTGTAGGGTTCAATAAAAACCTCAAGAGAAAAGTCGGATCCAAATATCAGGACCCTTCATATTGTGATGATAGCAGGTATGAATTAGACTGACGAACGGATAGAATTTGAACTTTTTAATGGACTCTTAATTTATTATTATTTATTTATTAATATTTTTTTGTGCAGGCGAGCTTCGATTTCAGCAACCGTGCCTGCATTCTCTCCGACAGCTTTTCTGTTTTGATTGGTCAATCCTCCTCTGGTTTTCTATACCTAGATCCAAGCCTACGAATAAATTTTGTACATGTTGTATCTATATATAAAAATTTATATATTGATGAATAAATATAAGACTGCTGCAACTATTGATTGTCCATGCATGAGGGGAGGGTGGAGAAATTCAACTTTGCTTTAGACTGCTGCGTCAAGGATTCGAATCCTAAAATATGGATTTGACTCTTGGGTAAGTGCAGGTGTACAAGCAGCCTTCCACCCTATACCCTTCGAGGCATAACCTGCGATTTACCTCCCTCACGATGCTCCAGGGCAGGGGTGGTGGGGGACCCTTAAAGTTAGGGTTTAACCTTTTTTTTTTTTTTTTTTTTTTGATAAGAAAAGAAAAAGTTAATCAGGAATTTTAAATAAATAAGTTTAGTTCATCGTTAATAGTTTAAACTTTTAAATTTAACCGGATCTAAATCTATTCTAAAATAGACAAATATCTTGAGCTTAAGCTCGTTTGGAAGGAAATGAGAGGCGTTTAGCTAAAATAAATTCGATGGGGCCTATTCTCTTGTTTGCATATAGGAGAGGCTTAATGCTTTGCTTCATGAATATGGTTGGAGATCGATGAGGGTTTTCTTTTTCGTTTTTTTTTTTTTAAATTCTTTTCCTAATGGACAAGTTTATGTAAATGGGATATTCATGTGCCCCACCAATTTATACCCCAAATTTGTGCAAGTAAAGAACTCCACCAAATTCATTATAATGTGGACAGTGGTCCAAATTAACGGAAGGTGATGTCCACATAAATTTTATGGACGCATCTCCCATGCACATAAATGAAGGGGCCCAACTGTCGAAGACAAGAGGGCAAATAATTTACATGACAAAATAGCAAAATATAGTTATTATTCAATTAAAAAATTTCGTTCGAAAAAATAATTTCAAATAAAATGATTAAAGTATACGGTTACACTCAATAAGCATTCTGTGAGCTAAGTAAACGTTATCGTTCGCTTTACGGTTGGCAACGGTTCGGTTATGGGCGATTCGGTCAAAATCATAACCGCACCACCAATTTTTTGATCATACCATAACCGCACCATAACCACGTAAATCGGTTCGGTTATTATCTCGGTTCCGCACGGTTCGATTCGGTTAATAACCATGAAAATAAATTATTTTTTATAAATTCAACCATCAAATTGATATAAAACAATTTATGAAAAAAGTCAATGAAAACAAAAACATAATATTTTAAACAAAAATGCAAACATTATCAAACAATATTTCTAATGAAAAAGCAAACATTATCCCAATTTTCAATTGTAAAATAAAAATTTAACAAACAATATTATAAATATAACAATACTAAACTTTTCCTTCATTCTTAATTACTGTGTATCGAAATTACTTGATTCATTCTTCCCCACAAATCTTACTAGCACTCAAAGTTGATTCCTATATAGTAGATAAGAAATGTAAATAGAGAATACAACGATACTACCTATTCTAGAATAATTTTAATTAAGATTTAAATGAAAAAAATACCTCTTCGTCAGCTTTCTTCTCGCTAAACGTTGCACGAGCTCTGAAGTATGATAAGAAGAAGAATTTTCTACACACAATAGAAAAAATTTAACAATAAAAGGAGTCGTGTGTGAGTTTGTGGTTTGTGGAGAGTAGGGTTTACATTTATATAATATCATACTAATGCTATTATTATGGGCTAATGATAAGTGGGTTGGCCGGCTGAGTCATAGAGATGTAATTGGGGGGAGGCGGGGAGGATTTTGTTTTGGGCTAGATAGAAAAGTAGTGTGAAGCCCAATAATCAATTCAATTTTTTTTTTTTTTTTTAGCGGGTAATAGGTTCTGTTTCGGTTCAACGGTGTAAATACCATACCCGCACCCTCAAAAACCGGTTCATTAAAATAAAAATCATATCCGCCCCATTGCACCATCAGTTCGATTTTTTTTCGCCCCATTCGATTCGGTTAATCGCGATTTTCAATTTTGACGGTTCAAATTGTCATTTCTAGTTCGCTCAACTCAAGGAATTGATTTCAGTTACTATTTATATTGGCATACACGGATAAACATGACAAAGTGTGTTGATAAAAATATTGATAAGAAAAGCATTTACTTGACACAACTTATTTGAAAAACATTTATATTGAATTTTCACCAATAAAATGAGATACGTACTATTTAATAATATCACAACTCATGCGTAAGCCCTAATACTATAAAATATTCCAAACTTGAAAAAACTAATTTGAACTACTTATTAAATCTGAAAAAATATGAAAATAATTTGTTTTATACATTACTAATTAATTTGAAAATATTGAAATAGCAATTCAAATGTTAACATTGTGCAAAATAATAATATTAACCAAAATTATTTTATCTTCAAAGTAATTTTGGATGGTATATACTTTTTAATTTTATTGTATAAACAATAAAATTTAGAATAAATATTTAAGGTATCCTAAGTATTGATTACTGATTTATTTATTTTTAATAATTTAAGAAGAAATTTGGCTATAATAAACATAAGAAATTATCAGTTCAAGTAATAAAATTTAAAACTAATAAATTGTGTAATTAAGTCATACACTTGATATTAAATTATCTCTATTAGAATTTATTAGAATATAATTGCATACCACTCGGATGATTGTTTTCCATTAGATTTATTAATAATTTATAAATAAACAATAAACTGTTTACATGTTAATTGCCGAGGCAAGAACACTTGTGATGTGTGTGTTTTTTGACCAAGCAACTTAACTTACCTTAAACGTTAGTCTATTTAATTTGTGTCATATAATGGCCTATTTAAAGTCTCCGGTAAACAAAATTCCACGCAAAATCCCACATATTCCAAATACAAAAAAGGGTATTCCCTCACCCAATACCACAACAAAAGGTGACAAAATTGTGCTGCCTGAGTTGCACATCCTAATGCTATTTTAAGGATGTTCTTGTTTGTTCATAATATCCAAATTTGCTTAAGCTTATATAGAAATGGTAAATATTTTTCAAAACATGGTGTGTCATTCAAATCCATGTTTGAATCAAAATTGAGATACTAATACAAGTTCTTCCCTTCTAAATCAAATAGATTCATATATGATGGAAATTATAATATCGTCTATATATGGAAAAAAAAAATTACTCTGTTCGAGAGGGATGATTAATAAGTGATCACGTCATTAGTTCATGTGCATGATTTACTCGATTTTTTTCTTCCTAAACTATTTCGTGCTACAACTAATCACAATAAATTTCTTCGAGGAAATAATTAGTAGTTACCTTCTCTTTTTGGCTTCACTCTTCTTGTCACTTGAGCTAGGCATTGAGTTAGACCGATTCCAAATTCCACAAGCGGGTTCAAATAACTTCAAGGATGAAGAACATCATTGAAAGAAAATAGTTTCCTTCCATAAAGAAAAGCGCAATTGTGACAATATTCTATCACATAAGCATGCAACACAAGAGCTCAAACTTCCTAGTTTCTTCAAATGTTCAAAGGTTGCGTGTTTCAACTCGATAAGACGAGAAAAGTTGTCGACTGGTGTTGAGATTTTTGTTGTAGATAGTCATGATTACTTGGGTCATTGAGATGAATGAAATGGACTTAAGATGTATGAAGTTCACCTAACTTGATCCAATCAAGATAGGTGAATTTGGTCAGGATTTTCTAGTTTTACATGTCATACAAATAGACCTGAAATGTCACAACACAACAATTCTATTTCATTATTGTATCATTTTACATCATGAAGTCGTAAGGCCCTCCAAGTTTGTTACTGCATTTTGTACGAGAAAGCAGGTAGGTTCAACTAGAACACAAATTATAACAACTAGATCCTGCATATACATCTCAGACAAAAGAAATGGCGAAAAAGATCGAAAACACAATATTTATATGGTTCGGTAATGAGCCTACTTTTAAATGACGAACTCAAATTCTTTACTACAAAATTAATGGGTTACACAAGTATCTCTTTGGCAAAAGTCGAGACATAAAATTAATATTTAACTAATCACCAAAACAAGGTGGCCCGAGAATAGAATGTAGGTCACTTATGTAAGGAATTTACTTAAACATGCACAGCGGAATTTAACAAGTTTCAATT